AGTACAAGTAATACATCCCATTATCAAATATATATAATTTTTATACTAAAAAATATATTAATAATAAAAAAAAAATTAAAATTAATATATAATAAAAAATAAACAAATATAAATAAAAGTATATAAAAATGTATATAAATATAAAGAAATATATAAATATATTTATATTAAATTAATTATATATATATTTAAAATATATATTCATTTAATATATATATATATATTTATATTTTTATTTACATTTAATATTAATTATAGATATTATTATAATTATTATTTAATAACAATTTTTTTAATTTATCTTTAAAATATTTCATTAAATATTATTTTTATTAGAATGGATTATTAGAAGGATAATATTGAAATTGATGGAAGTTTATACGAAGGCGGTGGATAAGTTTAAAAAAATAAAATTTACAATATATTTTTAAAATTAAAGATTTTTAGATTAAGTATTGCTCTGAGTAATATTTTTTAAATTCCAGTTAACATAATAAATATAAGAAAGAATCGACCTAATCCTGGCTTAAATAATCAATTATTAGCTGCAGTAAATAAAATCTTAATTTTTATAAAATATTTTAAAGTTATAAATAATGAAATAAATAACAAATGCATAAGTTTTTGGAATGAATTTAAATGAATAAAATGTATATTATAACCCTATTGAGAAAATAAAATATGGTAAATATTAAGGCGGATCAAAATAAGCATCATCAATCAGCCTAATGCTATAGTCTTTATTACCTACACTTTTATTTAATAATTAAAATTCTGAATTATTGTTATATGTATCTTTTAAGATTATTATTTATTTATTATAAATATAAAGGGTGGAACAGATGTTAATAACTCTCCACCTTACGAGTCAATAAAAAGAATTTTAATTCCTTTATTATAAAGGATGGGAATAAATTTCTAATATGATATTATTAAAGAAGGATTTTATCCTACTGGAGGAGGAAAAATTAATATTAAAATTCAAGGTTTATAAAATAAAATCAGAAATATAAATTTAACTTAAAAGAGTTAGATAAAATATATATATGTTTAATATATTATTAATAAAAAAACTGATTTAAATTTAAATGAACATAACGATACCCTTAAAAGTTAAATTAAAACAATAATAAATGATGATAATAATAAAGTAGATTTTAAAATTCAAGCAAAAGTAATAGAAAGCAAAAAATATAGTTAATGCTATTCTATAATAGCACATGCATATGCAGAAAATTGTTATTATGACTTTTCCTTTCATAATAAAGATAATTTAGATATTTCTGTAAATTTAAATTTATTCGATATAATATTATTTTTATATAAAATAAATAATAGTCTTGTATAGAAAAATTAACTGATTAATTTAGGATTGAAATATCGCATGGGGGAGTTGTAGATTAACACACTTAAGATCAAGTTTCATTATTATTTTATATTTTATTAACATAAATAGTTATTAGTGTACATGGCTTTAGCTGAAGGTGAATCACGTATTAAAATTAGTGCAATTATTACTGAGCATACTTAAGGAATGATATATGTTTTAAAATAATTTATTAAAAATTTAGATATTTAAGTTTAGAAATGTGATGAAATTTCTAAAATTATTATAATTTAAGGAATCGGATTTTATGTAAATTGATTTATTAATTTCAATAATATTTTAATTTTATAATTACAATATACAAATATTACCTATTATTTTAGAGTTGAATTTTCATAGATAAATTAATATTATATCAAAAAAACTTGTTTATCGAAATATATTATTAATAAAAATTATAATTTATTTTTATGTCCTTTTTTATAAAAGTATTTTATAAAACAATTCAAGCATATTATATTTTTTTTATTAAAATATTATTAGATTAAGAAATTAATTTAAAAAATATATTATAATACATATTTTTAATGAAAGTTATTATTTAATATATTATAAGCTTAAATTTGATTAAAAAATAAATTAATAATTAAATTTTTAGATAATATTTGATATTCCTTTCATAAAAATAATATCATATTAAATTTTATATTTTAACTCTTTCTAATAATAACTTTTTAAAAATGTCATTTTTTTTATTATAAATTTAATTTTTTAAATATTTAAAATTTTCGATTAAATAATACTTTTTTTTGAAAAAAATTTTATGTTAAAATAAAACATAAAAATTTAATTATTATAAATTATAAATATTTAAAAAATATATATATAAATATTTTAATATTTTTAGTGTAATTTTTTTAATCATCATTTTGATTTTCTATTATTTAATTATAGATCCAATATATGGTTAGTTGGTAACTAATGGTATATTCTATCAACTATAATATATGACTTTTCACCTTTAGATGATTTTAATAGAGTCCCTTTTCTAAGCTAATAAACTTGAGGATTTTATTAAAAATTTTATAGTTATAAAGATCTATATCGTTTATTCAATTATAAATCAACATTAGGAATATTAGATAAAGTTATTCCTTTACATTCTAGATTTTAACAACAGTCAGCAATAGCTTGATTGAAATCTGTATAAGCTTTACAATCTTAAACGCACTAAGATAAATAAAAGGATTTTTAAGTACCTTTATAATTATTACAAACTTAATTTTCTAAACAATTAGCTTTTTAATAAACACATTCTGGATTCTATTTTATTTAAAAAGATAGAGAAATAAAAATAAATAAAACTATTGTTTTCTTCATTTTTTTATATTATTTAATATATTAATTTAAATTATATTTTTAAATATTTTATTACATTAAAAAAAAATTAATTTATGAAAATATAATTTTATTTTTTTAAATTTAAATAAAATTTATTTTTAAAAATTATATATGTATATTTTAAAGAAATGAAAAATAAAAAACACAAATAACTTAAATTATTAATAAACAAATATTTTCATTATTATATTTTATTTAATATTTTAATAAATTTTAAAATAATACACTAATTTTGATTTAAATTTTAAAAATTTACAAAACAATTACTTAATAAATAATATAGCTATTATATATTTTCTTTTATATATAATATATTTTTTAATAAATATTAAATAAAATTATAAATATTTTTACTATGTTAGAGTAAATTAAAATATTTAATTTTTCATTTATTTTTTGGTAATTTAATTTAAAAAAAAGTAAATATAAAAATAATAATTATCAAATTCATTATAAATCAAATAAATATTTAAATACATAATAATTAATGTAATTTTTCATATGTAATTATATAATTATATTATATTTTAAGGCTTACATGGCTATCTACAATTAGGACATTCAGGTTTAATTTAAGTGCTTTTAATAATACAATCCCAGCAAAACAGATGTCCGCAATGAGTTGATGCTGTATTTTATCTATTATCATAGCATAATGTGCATACTTGAGTGCTTTAATTTTAATTATTTCCAGAATCATTAGAAATATCTTAGATTTATAAATCTTCTTGATTGTATTTTTTATAAATTTTATTTAAAAAACTTATGCTTTAAATAATAAATTGGAAAAGCATTATATAGCCTATTTTTCTATATTATATATTATGCTCTTAAGGCATTCTATTGAACACGTATTTTATTTAAGTGACTCTTTTAGAAATTTAAATATATTTTGAGTCAATGAAAAATAACATTAAATGAATTTAATATATCTTATTATACAAAGTGTCAAAATCAGGTAAGTTTTATATCAAAATGGAAATAAATTTATTTTAATATTTTTAATATTCATTTGAATTAATAAAACTATTTTGATATTAATCATAATTCTTTTTTATATATTTTTTGAATAAATAAGGTGTAAAAATATGTAATACAAATGATAAAAATCTTCTTTTAAAAACAGTTAATTTTAATTTTTTATCAAAATCATTTAAATTAATTTACTCTATATTCGAAAACTCTTCGCCTAATGTTTTTCTATTAGAAAGAGAGTTTATCGAATAATATAAAATCTAAATAAATAAATTTATTAAATCTTTATTTTTGTTTATTTATTAATAAGATATTAATTTAGGGCAAAAGAAATCTAAAAAATCTAAAAACTATTAGAATAACTTGAATTAATATTCTTCATCCTTTTAGTTTAGACGAAGTAATTCTGGTTAAGTTGAGAACTTTAAAAGTTGGACATTATATTATAAATATAAAATTTTAAATAGATTTATTATATAATATTAAAAAAATTAATAAATATATTTTTATTTAATTATATTTTTTTTGCAAATATAAATATCTTTTTAAATCCTTTTTTTTAATAATTATTCTTTATTATCTTTCTTTTCAAATATTTATTGCTATTTATTATTCATTATTTGAATTCTATTCTTACTAAATTTCGTTATTTTAATTTTGATTATTTTATATTTATTATAAATTATTTATATCTCCATTCCCTTTATTAAGAATTTCTTTTGGACTATTTTTTTTTTCATTTTATTATTATTTTTAGCTTTTTAACTTTTATATTTATATTTAATTCTCATTTTATTTTTTTAAATATTCATCAAACTTTTTATTCAAATAATATCCAGTACAACTATTTTCTAATTTTCCAGTAATCTTTTTTTCTAATTCTAAAAGATCTTATATAAAATTACAGCTTAATTATATACAAGGTCTTTGTTTTATTATAAATTAAAAGGCTTCTCTCAAATTCATATTTTAATTTGTTATTAAGTAAGCTATTAAAACAGCAGCAGCCCTATTATTTCCATAATCACAGTGAATTAGTATATTTTTTTTTTATTCTTTCGCTAAATCTTTTTTCATTTATATGTATTTTTTTAAACAAATATATATATATTTACTAATGAAGGCAAATATATCTTCATAATGTTAAATTAACTGTTCTTCTTAATTTTCTTGCTTTTATTTTTGAATATATAAATATATGTATATGTATTGATTTATATTTATTTTTAATACTTTTAAATTGATTTTTTTATATATAAAATCATGGCTTTCATTATTTTCATAAAAATTTTAAATTTCATAAGTACAATTTAAAATGTATTTAATATTTTTAATTAATTTTAATTCCTTTTTTTAAGTTTAGATATATTAAATATTAATTATATACTTTTAAATCATTTGCATTTAATTTTGAACCTAAATATACCCAATTTAAAATTTAAGAAGATTTTTGTTAAATAAAATCATTTAATTTAATCTTATTTTAGCATAAGGATCTACCTATTGTACTTGCAGATTCTAAAATTAATATGAATAAATATTATAATAAATAAAAGATACCTGAAGTAATATTTTCTTCATTTTATTTTTTTTCTATTACAAGTTCTTCCCTAAGTTATTTTATTTTTTTTTCTAAATTTTTTTAGAATTCAAACAATTTTAATTTTTCTTCGATCTATTCCATAGTCTAAAATTAGTAAACTTTATGTTTTTCAATATTTTATGTTAATTTTCCTAGTATTTCTTCTAAAAATGCACAATAAATTTTAGAAGGATTATAATAGGATTATCCATATTCAGGATAAAATTAAGTGCCTATGTGAAATCTATTATTTTAATATTCTTGAATCTTTTTTTGATTTTTTTTTTTTTAAATAAAAGATTAAATAATTTATATATTAACTGTATGTCTATTAACTTTATATTAATCTAATTATTATTTTCCTGTAAATTTAAAATTATTATTTTCGAATAATTCTAAGTATTTCGTATTGAAAATTATTCTGTCTTTGTGTCTTTCTTATATTTCTTGCTTTCCATATATTTTATAAGTTAATGAATTAGTATCACTAAATTACATAAATATAAAAAACTTATAAAAAATACCTTATTATAGTTATTCTAGAACCAAGTACAAGTGTTTACTGACTATCTTCATTATCTTACATCTCTTTATTTTCTAATTTTATTATTTTTTCTAATATATTAAAAATGAAATTTTCAGATTATATAGTATCTTCAAACACTTAAGAATTAGCATCTGATATTTATAGAACATTTCTAGCAAACTCAATAGCCATGACTTAAAAGCCAAATTACACCCCAAAACAAGGTATGTTATTTTCTCTTGCATAATTTGCAGCAATAATGGCTCCTTCAAAAGCAGTATATCCGTTTCCATCTGCTAAATAAATACCTTATGCTTCTTTTAATTTATTTCTATTAAGTTAACTAGATTGTTCAAAAAATTCATAACTTACAATTTCTTACTCTTAAAGTTTTTGGAATTTACAATACTATTTTTTATTATAAATTTAATTAATATTAATTTCTTTACTTATTGATATCCCTATAAAAATTAAGGATCAATTTATATAATTTCTATTTTGCAACATATTTTATAACTTGCTCCTTCAAGTGCTTTTTTTACTGAAAAATATGGTTCTGTATTATATTTTACATATTCTCCAATAAAACCTATTTTAACAGTCTATGTTTGAGGAGTATTTATAATATCATTGCAATATCTAGTCATTATTTTATGAAAACTCGTTGATGCAGGTTTCACTGGCAATTATAATCTTTATTGTATAATATTTGTTACAACTTATTCATGTAAAATTAATGGAACTTCAAATATTTATTCATAATCTGGTATATTTAATACTTAATAGCTTCTTATATTTGCAAATTTTGCTATTTTTTATCTATTAGCTGAACATATAGCTTCTGACGATCTTAATATAATAATATCAGGATTTAAACCTGCATAATTAAGGCCCTTTTGAAAATAATTATATTTATATACTATTTTTAAAAATACTTTTATGGCATTTTAAGTTGGTTTAGTTTTAAATTCAATCTAATTAAACTAAGGAACATAACTTACTAAAATAACACATATATTTTATTTTCCATAATCTAATTATAATTATCTAATTGATTCGAAAAAAAATATTGATTCAAAATCTCCTACTGTTCCTCCTAATTCTAATAATACTATTTCAGGTTAATCTGTGCTTCCGTCCATAGGGATAAGGCTTGTTTTGAAAATTTATTATTTTATTTCATCAACTACATGAGGTATAAATTAGACTGTTGAACCTAAATAATATCCTTCTCTTTCTTTTCTATTTTTAATATTTTTGTTTAATTTAATAATTTGTTATTATATTACTCTATAACGTTAGAATATATTTTTCCTGATGTTATGCTATGACTTTTTTAAAAATTTATATCAATAAAACGTTCATAATTTCCAAAATCTGTATCTACTTCACCACTTTTTATTTAAAAATATTAATTTTGATAAAATTTTAATTTGAAAAACCCATCATCTAAAACATATATTTCTCCTTATTCTGATGAAGAAAAAAAACTTGCATCTTTATTCTTATTAAAAAAAACAATAAAGTAAAATCTAAATTAAAATTACTAAATAAGGATCTACTTTTATAAGAGATACTTTATAACCACTATTTTTTAAAAGACTTCCTAAAGCACCAATAATCATCCCTGTACCTATTCCTGAAGCTACACCTCCGCATACAAGAATGAATTTTTAAAATTATTTTTAAATTATTTAATTATATTTCTCAAGGTCATCATATTTATTGCAGTATTTTTTAATTTCAGCTTATTTGTTCTCGGGTTATTATTGTTATTAATTTTGTTATTTTTATTAATTTTATTATTGATCATATTATTACTAATGTATTTAATCAATATTTTAATTTTGGTTGTTTATAAGATATGTAGTGTTTTCTATTTATAATTACTATTCTTATTATACTAAGATATCTTTATTTTTCTAAATATAATCTGTTTTACAATTTTTTTAATTTTATTCTAAAATTTAATTCATATTTATATGTTTATATATATTTTTTTTCTAATTAGTGTTAGATTTAATTGTAATATTATTTTTTATATCAATTTATATTTATATTTATTTATTTTTCAGTATATTTTTAATCTAAAAGTAAATTAAAAATAAAAATAGAGTTATTTAATAATTTTTTATTTAAATTATAACTTGTCTTGACTTTTAATGAATTTATAAAATAATTTATTATTTCGATTTAATTTTTTTGTTACCATCTAATTAATTTATATATTTTTTTCTTTAGATGAAAAATTTTTTTTCATGAAAATAAATATTTTTATATAAATAATTAATTTATATTATTTGAAATTAAATTATTTAAACTCATTACTATAATTTTAAATTCATTTAAATTACAAATATTATGTATTAAATTATAATTTTAGTTATTATTTCACATTAAGATTCTTATTTTTATTTAATAGTATTTGTTAGATACTAGTTAATTAACAATAATTTTAAATCTTTAAATGAATTTAAATTGTGATATAATAAATGTGATTTTAATATACGAAATATATTTTATGAATTATATATAAATTTATTATAATTACTTTATTTTATTTTAAATATTTATTATAAATCAGATTAATTAACTATTATATAACCAAATTTACCAATATAATAATTTATCACTATAAATAATTAAAAAAATAATTGGGTTTAGATTATTAAACAAAGAGTTAATTAAATTTCCGTTTATAATTTAATGATTTTAAAACCTTAGAATTATTTTACAAAAGTAGTTTTTTTTTAAAAAAATTAGATTAATCAGAAATAAAATAGGAATAAGAATAGGAAAATATAGTAAAATAATATTATTAAAAAAAAAATTTAATTTAATTATAATATAAAAGATATTCTTAATTATACTTTTGCTTTCAAATATTTGCATAAAAATAAACCTACAATTATTGAAGATTCGCTAGTAAAAAAATATATATTAACTTTAAAAAAGCAAGCATTTATAAATGATTGAAAAAACAAATTACGTTAAATTAATTATTAATATATTGAATAATTACTATTTGAAAATTTGGAGATATTAATGGATATTATATATTATATTTCAGTTGAATATTTTAATTTGATAAAGTGTTTTACAAACATTTTAGTTTAATATAATATTAATTAAATTAGTGACTTTGAAAAAAAATCTAAATCTAGAAAAATTGAAATGATTTAATAGACATTAGACATAATTAAAATAAAAAACAGAAATTTATAAAAATATTAAAGAGGGATAAAAATATAATATATTATATTTACATTTATTAACAATAAATATTTTTAATATAAATATAAATAAAAATATTAATAAAAATAATTAATTTATTGAACTTATTATTTTGAGACTTTTATAAGATGAATAATATGGAGATTAAGAAAAAATAATTTATTTATAAGACTAATTTTAAATTTTTAGAGAGATTTACAATTTTAATATACAATGATATTATTCAAAAAAGTTTAAATTCTATAAAAATAATAATTTTTTTTATAAATTTTTAGTTTTAATTTATTTAGTTTATATAATAAATGATTATTCCAAATAAAGAACATATACATCATTTTAAATAAATAAAAAATAATTAGAAAAAAATGCAAAGAATATAAAATTAATTATATTCTATTAAAGCATAAAATATAAATAATAAATTTTATATAATTCATTTTGCAAATAGAATTTAATTTTTAATTAATAAAATTTATTTAATTATAATAATTATTAAATTCTTTCAATATAAAAAAATTAATAAATTTGAAGTTTTATAGAGTTATATATATAATATTAATTTTATAGCAAAAAAATATTATTTTAATTATAATTTAAGTGTAAAATAATATTTTAGTAAATAAATAAAACTAATTAAATAATATAATATTAACTTTTTTTTTATTAAATATTTTTTTAATTTAAATTTTTACAAAAAGTGATTTAAATTTTTTTGAAATAAATAACTTTATAAGTAAACAAAATGGAAAAACCTTAAAATCCAAAAAAATGGAATATAAGCAATATGTTTTGTTGTGGATCTAAAAAATTAACAAGCAATTCTGTATAAAAATGTTAAAAAGATTAAAGTATACAGTAATATCATATTTAACATAATAATTAATAAGAGAATATTAACAATCAAAATATTCCAATTAAAACTTAGAAAATCAATACAAAAAAATAAAACGAAAACTAGCATTCAAATAATAAAATAGAATATCCTTACTTAAACTAATAAGTCAGTAAAGATTTTTATCAAATTATAATTATAAATATAAAAAAATTGATTTAAATATTATTTTTATAAATTAAAGTTGAAAATAATTAATCATAAAACATAGTTTTAATTCGAAAAATGAAGGTAAACTAAAACATTCTATTAGATTAATTAGAAAACGAGTTTGATAATAAATTCTTTAAATTAAATACATAATTTGCTTTTAATCAAATTGATGTTTTTTTATTAAATTAATTTAATTTTTAAAAATATTATATCAGTTTATAGATAATAGACCATTTGATAAAGAATTTATAAAATATTTTAAATACGATTGTCCAATATGTTTCAGACACTTTAATTGTAATTATAATATTGTTTAAAATTAAATTTATAAATAAAAAAGTAATAAATAAGTCTCTTTGTTGTGGAAATTATATATGTCATTTTTGTTTAAAGGAAATTTATAATAGTATATTTTTAATATTAACTTAACTAAAAAATGTTTTAATTTTTTTATTTTATATTCAAAGAATGCTTAATAACTCCCAGTTATTAATATAGATGTTCATTTTGTTAATGTACAAACCCTATTTATGTAGATATTAATTAAAATGATAAAATAATAAGGTTATATAGTTATTTTATTAATTTTATAAAAAATAAAAATAATAAAGATATTCAGATAGTCCTTTTTGCACCCCTTCTAAAATATGTCCAAACGAATAATAAAATAAAGAAATTAATTTACCTTGCAAATTCAAAAATTTAGATTTTGAAAACGAAAACGAAAAAAATGCAATATACCAATTATAAATTTTGATGAATTTAGTGAATCATTAAATTAACCATATAATGTTAAAAACTAAAAAGATAATAATGAAAATTTGAATATAAGTTCCCCGAAATTGGTTCAATCGGTCCCTGAGTTTAAATTTTAATATCATATTAAGTACTTAAAAAGTTAATAGAAAAATATAAATGAATGAATTAATGGTAAAAATATATAAAATAATTAAAAATTATTAATTATGCTTGTAATAATAAATAAAATTAATATAATACATAAATTATATATTGCATTAATTAATTTTTAATCATCTATAATAATTCTAAAGTTAAGAATTTTTTTAACACAATTCTAAAAATAAAAATATTTTATTTTTAAATTCAATTTTATTTTAAAATTTAAATTTACAACCAAATTATAGTTATACATATATATAATAAGAAAATTTTAAGAATTGATTTTTTGATAATATTTTAAGCAATGCTTTAATACTTAATTTTAAAATTATAATAATAAAATAAAATTTATTGCTTAAACTATAAATCAATATTTTAACTAATTATTAACTATTTACTCATGTCCTTTTTTAAATTTTTATTTTCAATAAATTATTATAATATATTTATTATATTATATATACATTTTCATAATACGAATGCATTTATTTTTATTTTTTATGAAGTTTTTATTAAAAACTAATATTTTTGTATTATTTTGTTATAATAAAATGTAAACGTTAATTTGTTTTTCATATTATAAATATATTGAAAATTATTTTTAATATTTCTCAAATTATAGAAAAAAATATAAAATTTATTATAAGACAATTTATTCATCTATCTACAATAATATATTCTGCTTTAATTAATTATTACTTTATTATTTTAAAAATTATTTGAAACATAATAAAATTTTTAAATATTTTAAACATAGATTTTCATTAATTGCTTTTAAAAATATATAAATAAATAATTAAAATAATTGAAGTAGATTTAGATAGTATTTTGATAAAGAAAAGCTAAAAAAATAACAAGAAAATTATTAAGTATTAATTTTAGGATATTAGAGTGTTGTAAAAATTTCTTTTCTTAAAAGCTTATTAAATTAGAGAACTGTAAAATCTATTACTGAATTTATAATATAGAGAATATTAAAAAATATTATGTATATTTATTATAATTTTTAATTTTATTTTAAAAAAAATTGATATTAACAATCAGTTAAATGCTTTAGACATTTGATAATAACAAATTTTTATTTTTATTTATTCAATATATAATATGAAAAATTTTTATTATATTTAAAATTTTATAAATACCTTTTATTTTTACAAATGTAACAATGTAACAATATAAAATAAATAATTGTAGGTAATAAAAAAGACCTATATAAAATAGGTAAGTATAATAAATAGAAGATCATAAACTTAATAATAAATATAAATTATAATTTAACTTAAATAAAATTAAGAATAAGCAAAAAAGAAATATTAAATAATTATTTTTATAACTATAAAGCATTTAATAAACATAAATTTATATAGAAGAAATTTAAAATAGAACTCATTATTAAATTACTTAAGAAAAACATAAACATTATATGCATTATTAAATTGTACTATAGATAAGGAAAGTCTAAATAATTATACTATTAACAAAAATCTTTAAAATAATAAAAAGAAAAAAGCGATTATTATACTTTTGTCATTATTATTAATGAATATTCTATAAATATCAGGTGTTGATTAAAATTTTATAATTATTAGTTATACATTTAAAGCTATTACAATTTATATATTATAGAAAATTCCAAATCATAAGTGCAATATTATTTAACTAATAATTCTATTATTTTAAAATATAATTGTTTAATAATTACAATTGCAATAAAGCAGATTAAATTTTATTAACAATATTCATAAATAATATTTGTTTACATTTTTTCTTTTTGGGACCATTGAATTACTATTTTAA